CAAGTCATGATGCAGTCACCTGTTAGCATCACCTGGTTCAAACAGAATCATCATTTCATTGTTTTACCTCATTACTGGCCCTGAAATGCAACCGTACTGACTTTGTTGGGAATGTGTTGCAGCATCAGGATTGAAGTGTTTATTTGAACAAAGAATAAAACTGATGAGGTGTTACATCAGATAAAGTGTTGTATTGTTTTTGATGTGATACAGATGATTTAATTTTGATCTTACATACAGTCCCAGCTTTTTCTGATTTGGGGTTGTACCACCTTGCTTTTAATGGGGTACTGTAACCAGTAAGTCGATAGGTGGAGTTCAGGTCAGAGTAGGTAAGTCCAAGTGTGTGATGATCCCTGGAGGTGTGTTTGTGAAATGCTGTTGTGTGTTTTGAAATATTGTCTTTTTGTCAGATGTGTTCTGTGAAATGTTGTTTTGTCAGATTTTGTTGTTTTGTACGTTTAGGCCACCACAGTAGCTGAACCAAATGTATAATTTCTGCTGGTGTGTAATGACTCTACAGGTGTTTAATCAACTATACAGAAAAAATCTGACATTCTTCACATTAATGTTAGGTCTGCTCGCTCTCTCCCTCTCCCTCTCTTTCTCTCTGCAGATTGTGGAGTTTCTCAGGTGTAGTTCTCACAGCTGTTTCCTACTTAACGAGCGAGCAGGAGCCTCCTCCTCACTAACCCATCGAGGATTCTTCCCAAGATGCTTTTGGCTCACCCTCTGTTGTTAACACAAGATCCTTCGACGTTTTTCTGCCCTGTCGTGCCTCCAGTTTCCTTTATGTTCTGGTCATCCTCGTCACAGAGTAAGCCGCCCTGGATGTGGCAACCTCCAACTTCACTGGGTCTCATCCTCCAGCCTGGGTCTCCCGTTGCTGGCCTCCTTCATCGGCCCGGCCTAACCTACCAGTGGCCTCCAGAGGCCACCTGCCAGCAACAGTCCCACTCTCCTTAATACCTTGTGACCCAATAAACCAGTTGTTCCGAAACCAAGTTCTGCCCTCTGAGTCCTGCCTATCACTCTCTTGCCTCTGTTGGACCGACCGGTCGTAACAAATCGATCACATAAACCAGTAGTGTTGATGGTTTAGCAAAACACTGCCAAGTCACAAAAATTCCCCTGCATGTGTATATGTGATAAGGAGTGTCTGAACATAAATGCAACTTAACTTGAAAGCAGTTTGTTTTCTTCTCTCTTTGGGTGTATTGTGGTGTGTCTTGGCACATTACTGCCACCTGTAAACCAGTGGAACAGTGTGAAACCGTTGGCAGAAATGTGTCAGTCACCCACAAACATGTGTGTGCCGTGTGCATGCATGAGAACAAACACAAGAAGGACAAGAACATTTCCAAGAAGTATTATTCCAAAGCACTATTAGCAGCCGTAAAACTTTACAGGGCACCATTATACCTGATGGCCATAATATAAAACTACATGTATAGTGAACTTATCCATCAGACAACCATGTTATTATGTCGGGACAAAAACCTGAAATGGGAAGTGAACCATGAGGAACCAAGCTGTAGGTTCACTGATATTTTACAGCAGCCTGTCATGAACATGAACAATGAAGTAATAATGCAATTTAGTGTCCAGCCAATTAGAGCAAAGATCCATGGTTGCCTAGCAAAGATGTAATACATATCACCATGGTATGCTAGTCAATATTAGAAAATTGATTTTTTTTTCCAATATTAGAAGTGTTCTGAGGCCAAAGCAAAAGCAAAACAGATTCACAGATTGCTGTGCCTTCTTTCTGCTGCTCACCTACACAGCTTTTTTTTTGTTTGTTTCTAAAGGTCAGACCTGCTTTAATGTGGTTTAGCAGTCATGGCTACAATTGGACTGGCAGCATGTGAATGCTCCCTGCTCAGAGAGGAAAATAAGAAGAAACTGTTGGATATTGAAAAGTTGATGTCAAGAAACATGTTGCTGTGCAAAGTCAAATCAGGTACTAACCAGTGGAGTCAGGGAGAAGGAACAAGCAGCTGTGGGGGCTGTGTATAAAGTTTCATTACTTTGAAAGAAGTATTTGACTATAAATACAGTTACGGCCAAAAATACTGGCACCCCTACATTTCTGTCATAAAATGCAGTACTTCTAGAAAATTGTTGCAGTCACAAATTCTTTGGTATTTGTGTTCCAGAATTTATTGGTAGTCTTCAGATGTCATAATGCCACACACACAGTCAAGACATCCAGTGGCTAAAGCAGCAGAGTAACCCCAAAACATCAGTGAACCTCCATCGTGTCTGACTGTAGGGACATGTTCTTTTCTCTGAAGGCCTTATTTCATTTTCAGAAAACAGTAGAATGATGTGCTCGACCAAAAAGCTCTATTTTAGTCTCATCTGTCCACAGGACAAATTCCCAGGAGAACTGTGGCTTCCTCAGGTAAGTTTGTCTCTGTGTCAGCAGTGGGTCCCCTGGGTCTCCTACAATAGCGTCCCCTGTCATTCAGACGGTGATGAATAGTGTGAGCTAGGGCAGGACCCAAATATCCCGATATTTGTTCGTCGAGTAGGTAATCAGTCAACCGGGGAGATCCATCTCTTCTAATATGCTATTAGCATGCTTATAAGACTGGCTAAGCTAATGTTACAATACAGTACTTGCCGAGGTCAGCGCACTGTATATAGCATGGATGTATATGGACTGATCAAGTGGATAAAGTAAATGCTAGTTCATAAACTGATGCTGAATGTTTGCCCCTCAGTTTGGACAGAGCAGCTTTTTTTGGAGGCAGCCTTGCCCTATGTCCCGCTCCACTTTCACTCACACCACAGGCCTCAAGCATGCCCAAGCCCGACTGAGGATGCATCTGTGTCTTGCACGGTCATCAAACACCTTTCAATCAAAAATCGGCTGTTGCAATAACAGAATTTCTAAAGTGTTTTAGAAACTCCATTGTGTATTTAATTAGGCCCACTGAAGTTTACATATGAGTTTTTGTGTTATATTCCTTGTTACATAGGCCTAACTATAATTTGGAATAAATCATTTCTTTTTGAAAAATGTTGTTGTTGTTCTTTGGGATATAAGGATAATGATAACCACTTTATTTGGCCAAGTATGTTACACACATCAGGAATTTGTTTCCAAAGCTGAGGTAGCCATCCATGACACCAACTCACACCGAAGCTAACAATTGGGGGCAACTTGGGGTTCAGTGTCTTGCCCAAGGACATTTTGACATGTGGACTGTAGGCACCACAATTCCAGTTGGGAATATAACCACTCTACCCATAGTTGCCCCAAAGACAAACTGCCGTCCCTGGCTGGGCTTGAACCACCAACCTCTCAATTAATAAACAAACACGCTAACCAATTGCACCACAGAGACCACATAAGGTTGCAGTTTAGGCTAAAAGTGAAACATCCAGATTTTGCAGTGTTTGTAAATTACAGGGCTTGCTGAACATCCATCCATCTATCTTATCTCTACCACTTATCCTGAATAGGGTCGTGGGAGGGGCTGGAGCCAATCCCAGCTATCACTGGGTGAGAGGCGGGGTCCACCCTGGACAGGTCACCAGTCTGTCACAGAGATGACACTCGGAGACAGACAAACAAATTGCTGAACACTGCTCCACCAATTCCACATTCATATGAGTGGTTTCAGCAGCTGTTAAAATCTGACAAGTATTTAATCTGAAGCATACTGGGAGCATCTGATAGGGCCAGTAGCAAAGCTTATTCCTGCTTTCTTTTCCTTTAAAGGTGCTCTAACTAATTTCCTTTTAGCCACTAGAGAGTCTAGTGAGAATCAAAACAAAGTAACATGGAAGATTCCCCCTGCTTCTAACAACTCTCTGCCCCTCCCATTATATCTTGTTTCCTAGCAATGACAAAAACTACAAATGCCTGGTTGCGACAAACTGTACAAAATGCTCTCTCCAGTCTGAAACTAGCATTAGCTGGCTAAAAATTAAATGAGTAAAACACTCAGGCAACTGGTGAGACACAAAGCATTAATGCTATACAAAGGTAGAATTACTCCAAAATTAAAATAATATTAATTCAATACAAAGGTAAAATCATGACAAGGCTAGGTCGCTAATGTTGCCAAAACAAACAAATAAGATAAGATGAGATAATACTTTATTTGCCATTTTAGAGTGACCTCCAGTCAGTACAGCAATATAAAAACCATAACATATGAAATCTATATAAAACCATATTTTAGCAGCATTGAGTGTGGTAACTGCTGTTGGGTAAAAACTATTCTTGAATCTAGTGGTCCTTGATTTGATTACTCTGAACCGTCTACCTGATGGCAGCAGTTCAAAGAGTGAACGTCCAGGGTGTGAAGTGTCCTTAATGATGTTCTAAGCTTTTTTGAGGCAGTGGGAACTGTGTAGTTCTTCCAGAGTGAGGAGAGAGCAGCTGACGATCTCCTGGGCCGTATTAATGACCCTCTGGAGCATTTTCCTCTGAGCCACTGTGCTGCTGCTGTACCATACACATATACAGTATGTAAAGATGCGCTCAATGAAACACTGATAGAAGGACACCAGCAGTCTCTGGGAGATGTTGTTCTTCCTGAACACCCATAGGAAGTACAGTCTCTGCTGGGCCTTTTTAAGCAGTTTAGAAGTATTCATGCCCCAGGTCAGATCCTCCCAGAAAGCAGAAGGCCGGCACCCTCTCCACAGTCCCCGCTGATATACAGTGGCAAGATGTCGGTTTTCTTCCTCCTGAATTCGATAATGACCTCCTTAGTCTTTGAGGTATTAAGGAGCAGATTGTTCTCTCTGCACTACACTATCAGCCTCTCCACCTCATCCCTGTAGGTAGTCTCATCCCCCCCAGAGATAAGCCCCCACCGCCGTGGTGTCATCAGCAAATTTTACAATGGTGTTGCCGTGGTGAGCGGGGGTGCAGTTGTGGGTGTACAGGGTGTACAGCAGGGGGTTCAGGTTTCCAAGTAGTAGTAGTAAAGGTAGTAGTAGTAGTAATTATAATAATATGCGTTCAATTCAAAGATATGTCATGGGTGTAGAGGAGGGGGCTCAGCACACAGCCTTGTGGTGAACCAGTGCTGAGGCTGAGAGCCGTGGATGTGTGTGGGCCCACTCTCACCGTCTGGCTGTGTCTAGACAGGAAGCTTTTAATCCATATGCAGGTGGAATATGGAATTTCCAGGTCCACCAGCTTGTCCACCAGTTTGTGGGGGAGGATGGTGTTGAATGCGGAGCTATAATCCACAAAGAGCAACCGTGCATGGCTCTCCTGATGCTCCAAGTGGGACAGCACGACGTGGAGGGCTGTGGCTACGACATCCTCTGTGGATTTGCCCTGTATGCAAACTGGTGTGGGTCAGATGTTGGTGGGAGGAATGATATAATGTGTCCCCATACCAGTTTCTGAAAACACTTCCATCACCACTGGAGCGAGTGCAACTGGCCGGTAGTCATTGAGGCAGGTTATGTTGGGTTTCTTAGGCAGGGGAACTAGGATGGAGGACTTCAGGCAGGGTGGGACAGTGGACTGGGCCAGAAACTGGTTGAAGATGCTGGTGAAGACTCCAGCCAGCTGGTCTGCGCAGTCCTTCAGCACACGTCTGGGGACACCATCCAGTCCAATAGCCTTTTTTGGGTTTACAGCCCACAGTGTGCACCTCACCTCATGCTCCCCTACTGTGAGGGTGGGGCCGCTGTGGGCCGCAGGGTGCAGTTTGGCTGTGTCTGGTTGCTGTCCCTCAAAGCCGGCAAAAAAGAGGTTCAGCTCATCTGCCAGCAAAGCGTCACCTTCAGCCGCACCGAGATTATTCCTGTGGTTGGTAAGATGCTGGACTCCCTGTCACACCTGCCTGCTGTTGTTGCTGTCCAGATGGTCTTCGATCCTCCTCCTGTAGTCCAATTTGGCCTTTCTGATGCCTCTCTTCAGGTTAGCTCGGGCCACACTGTGGAGAGCCCTGTCGTCTGTCCTGAAGGCAGTGTTCCTCTCTCAGTAACCGCTTGACCTCCCAGTTCATCCAGGGCTTCTGGTTGGGTTAGACCCTGATGCGTTTGTCCACAGTGACAGTGTCTATGCAGTTCTTAATATAACACAGGACACTGCCTGTGAACACCTCCAGGTCTGGATGTTCAAAAACATCCCAGTTGGTCCTATCAAAACAGTCCTGTAGCTGCTGAGAAGCATCATCAGGCCACGTTTTTACAGTCCTTGTGGTGGTAGGAGCAGTGTTCCTGAGGGGGGCATATGCACAAATTAGAAACAAGGACAAGTGGTCAGACTGGCCCAGGTGTGGTAGTGGTCTGGCCCTATAGCCTAGCTTGATATTTGAATAAACCTTGTCTAGTATGTTAGCTCCTCTGGTAGCACACTTTACGTGCTGGTCAAATTTGGGGAGTACTGTCTTTAAATCTGCAAGTCCCCTGCTGGGATATGCACAGCATCAGGATGTCAGCTCTGCTGACTGCTAATACTGCCATATAAATGTCCAATAGCTGAGTTAGCATTAGCAGCCCGTGGTATATACATATTGGTTATGAAGACCACATTGTGCTCTCTTACAAGGTACATGGGCCTGCATTTGACAGTCACATACTCCAAATCTGGGGAGCAGAAACTGTCTACAGTCACTGTGTTTGTACACCAGTTGTTATTGACGTAAATACATAGCCCCCCTCCTCTGCTCTTACCTGAGTCATTTGTCCTATTATGGCGCTGTACTGTGTAGCCTGCTAACTTGATAGTCTGGTATAGAGTCTGGTATGTGTGGATGAAGCCAGGTCTCTGTGATCAGCAGAATGAAACTGTCCTTCATCATGTAATTGGTCGCAACCTGTAGCCTCAAATCATCCATCTTACTAATGAGTGCTCTGGCATTCATCAGAAAAAAGGCTGGGAAGTGGTGGTCTATGTGGCTGCCTCCATAGCCTAGCTAACGCTCCGGCCCTGAAGCCTCGCTTCTGCCTCCTCTCCTTCCTGTGGCGCCTTCCAGTCCTTGCCGTGGGGATGGTAATCCACGAAGAACTGGGGCTCCTCACTATGTCCACTGGTATCCTGTGTGAGCGCAGAAACTCAGCTATAACTCTCTGCTCGTAGCAAGCTCCTATTTTCAGGAGATTGTGCCGACTGTAGGTATTGCAAAACATACACAGTATGGAAAACAACACATACACAAACCACCAAACAAAACACCGACTGAAGGAACACTGAACCGCAGCAACAACGTGCGCCGCCATCTTGCTCCATCACATCACAAATCATCTTTAGATACGAACACATCCAGAAAGAAGAACACCATGTCTGAATCAAATCTGAGTCCTTTCGCTGTTTTTAACACTCTTCATCTCAAAAAGCCAAACTGATATTAATCCTGGTTTTTGCACTTTCCTTGTCCCACTCTCTCTAAGCAAAAGAATACAACCTCTTCTGTCTGGCAGCCACTGTTTCCGACTTTTAGCTGCCAAGAGCTCCTCCATGGCTGGCTGTTTGAAATGATTACTTGTGGTTTGAAGAGCTCTTCCTATAAACCTTTGCTAGGTGGCAGGTGGGGCTAATGTCTGGACCAATCTTGAAAACAGACAGTGTAGAAGCTGCAGACACTTCCAGCAAGATGGCTGCTTCACACTGAGCTCCAGCCAGGAGCCTCCCCCATTCTATGATAATTTTGACCAGATGGTACTTAAACTATAGTAAACCCCTTTGTTTTCCGATCTTTAGACGCACTAGGAGATGCCCCAGAGGAAAAACCTTAGCCACATCACAGCCGGGAAACAAAGCTTCAAGACTAACCCCACTCAGCTAGCTAGCATGGTGACAGAGGAGATAATAGTATTGATACAGCAGACGGTAGAGGCCCAAAGATTTGCTCAAGAGTATGGTGCTTGAAATGCTAAGCGAGCTTTTGGGCTGAGGCTTAAAACTGGTCGAGGGAAGTATAAAATATACATATATAGAATGGGGAGGTGCTTTGCTTCCTCAAACTCAAAATCAATACACATGCCAAAGCCATGGAGACAATGTCCAATAAATTAGAGGCCCTTCATCTCTTAAACTGAAAAGCTGCATAAGAAGATTAATGAGCTCTAGAACAGGTCCAGGAGAAACAATGTAAGGCTGACGCCGAGGGAGACAACCCAGTGGGCTATCTACAAAAAAATGTAACCGACATGGATTCCGGAGCTGAAGCAACCACCTGGAAAACTAAATAACAGAGAGAGGCTATCATTTGACTCTGCTGATGAGATAAAGCACTACTGTGCAGGTTCACCTCACTAACCTCACTACGCATCTACTTTGAAATATGAGGGGGGGTTCTTCCTGAAGTCCACTGTCATCTCCACTGTTTTGAGCATGTTCAGCTCCAGGTTGTTGCGGCTACACCACAGGACCAGCTGCTCAACCCCCCATCTGTAGGCTGACTCGTCACCGTCTCGGATGAGACCAGTGACCGTTTTATCATCAGCAAACTTTAGGAGCTTGACGGAAGGATGCTTCGAGATGCAGTTGTTGGTGTAGAGTGAAAACAGCAGAGGGGAGAGCACACATCCCTGTGCTTATTGTCCAGGTGCTGGATGTGGTTTTCCCCAGCCTCACCTGCTGCTTCCTGTCTGTCAGAAAGCTCGTAATCCATGCATATCCTTTTCACAGATTGTTAGAGGTGGGGGGCTGGAGGGAAGGATGTCCCAAGCAGTGGTGTACTCAGATTGTGAAAGTAGCAATACCACAGTGTAGAAATGCTCTGTTACAAGTTAAGCTCCTACAGTACATTTAAAATGTTACTTAAGTAAAAGTACAAATGTATTAGCAGAAAACATACTTAAAGTACCAAAAGTAGAAGCACTCATTATGCAAAATGGCACTTTACAGTGATGTGCATCATATTTTTCAATTATAAATATTGATGTATTATTGTGTACTTCACATTTAATGTTGCAGCTTGTAAAGGTAGAGCTTATGTTAACTACATTACATGCCTATAATGTAGCAGGATCATCATTTATTGATCCTCAGTGTAAAATTCATAAGCTACCCAGCAATAATTCAAATTATACTGTATTTCGTTTCAACATCTTTCTGAAAAGTAACTAGTAACTAAAGTTGTCAAATAAATGTAGTGAGTACAAAGTACAATATTTTTCTCTGTGAGTAAGAAGTAACAGAAAATAAAAAATGCTTAAGTACAGATAACCCCAAAATTGTACTTAAGTATAGTACTTAGTTACTTTCCAACTCTAGTCCCAAGAGTCCCATCCCATTTTCACTTTATTTACCAGGCAATGTGTAAAGTTGAAAGAAATTCAGTAAAATTACTGGCCAAACTATTTTCTTGTCATTCAATTAAATGGATATATTTATGCAAAAATCTTGACAACCCTCTGACATTCAGAGATAGATACTTCTGGCCTAAAATGATCTTTGAAATAAATCTCCTGAGTGCGTAAGGGCTTATAAAGGTAGATGCTTTCAAGCCCAAAAAGCTTGAGAGAAGGCACTGCAGAACAGTGCCATGCAGTCAGACAGAGAGAGTCCCAAGGTTGTCTGACTGCTCAGCCTGAGCAAAAGAGGCCATTACTGCAGCACTGCCTTCAGGACCTTGTAACAGCCAGGACAGAAGCAGACAAGAGGCCACTTCTCTAAGACAGCGAATAGCAGGACCATCATAACCACAGCATCAAAAGGGAATTGTGGCCTCTACAGGTGCATCTCAATAAATTAGAATATCGTGGAAAAGTCCAATTATTTCAGTAATTCAACTCAAATAGTGACACTGGTGTATTATATAAATTCAGTACACATAGACTGAAGTAGTTTAAACTGTTGGGTCTTTTAATTGTGATGATTTTGGCCCACATTTAACAAAAACCCACCAAATCACAATTTCAATAAAACCTCAAAAGACCCATAAAAAAACATTTGTAGTGAATTATTGGCCGTCTGGAAAGTATGTTCATTTACTGGGTGATACAGTGGACCAACACCAGCAGATGACATTGCACCCCAAACCATCACAGACTCTGGAAACTTAACACTGGACTTCAAACAACTTGGGCTATGAGCTTCTCCACCCTTCCTCCAGACTCTAGGACTTGGTTTCCAAATGAAATACAAAACTTGCTCTTATCTGAGAAGAGGACTTTGGACCACTGGGCAACAGTCCAGTTCTTCTTCTCCTTAGCCCAGCTAAGACACCTCTGACATTGTCTGTGGTTCAGGAGTGGCTTGACAAGAGGAATACAACAACTGTAGCCAAATTCCTTGACACAGCGGTGTGTGGTGGCCCTTGATGCCTTGACCCCAGCCTCAGTCCATTCCTTGTGAAGTTCACCCAAATTCTTGAATTGATTTTGCTTGACAAGCCTCTCAAGGCAGCGGTTCTCTCGGTTGGTTGTGCATCTTTTTCTTCCACACTTTTTCCTACCACTCAACTTTCTGTTAACATGCTTGGATACAGCACTCTGTGAACAGCCAGCTTCTTTGGCAATGAATGTTTGTGGCTTACCCTCCTTGTGAAGGGTGTCAATGATTGTCTTCTGGACAACTGATCAGATCAGCAGTCTTCCCCATGATTGTGTAGCCTAGTGAACCAAACTGAGTGACCATTTTGAAGGCTCAGGACACCTTTGCAGGTGTTTTGAGTTGACTACCTGAGTGGCATGTCACCATATTCTAATTTATTGAGCTAGTGATGTGGTGGGTTTTTGTTAAATGTGGGCCAAAATCATCACAATTAAAAGACCCAATGGCTTAAACTACTTCAGTCTGTGTGTACTGAATTTATATAATACACGGGTTTCACTATTTGAGTTGAATTACTGAAATAAATGGACCATTCCATGAGATTCTTATTTATTGAGATGCACCTGTATATTCGCAGAACACCACATACACAGCCAAAGACAAGAATGGGGTCAAATGTGACTAAAGTTATCACACAGCAGCCAGTTGATAGATAAGATATTAAAACAACAAAGGACAGGGCTTAATGGGAAAAGGGAGTAAATGTGGGATGAGGTACAGACCTGTTTCCTGGAGGAGAACATGACCGCTGGCCGCACCTGCCGACCACCCTTCCCAGAGTCAGGGGCTTCCCGACAGCTCCGACGCAGCGTGGTGGCACTGGTGTCGGGATGGTTAGGTAGAGGGCTGGACGGCCACAAACAGCATGTTAGAGTTTCATCTCAGAGAAGATCGCCATGCATGAATTTTTTGGTTGGTTAGTTGTTTGGGTTCTTGCTTCAGTGTGTTAGGAGGTTGGTAAATGTAACGTGCACTGTAGGAATCATGGTTCAGAATCCCACTAAAAGCTTGTTAAAGCAGCACAAATTCCCTTTCTTTGATTCAAGCCTGAGCCAGTTTTTAACTTTAGACTTCTAACATGTGATGTAAATCAAGCAGGATTTGCAGGAAATGTCAAATGCCTTAACAACATCCATTCTCTTTTTTTCTCTTGTATTTGATATGTCCGAGCACACTAAAGAGTACACGCTCACAACTGCAATACATGACAATATTAACTGATTTTTGCCTCTGGGTACAAAAGAAACAAGCTGCAAAAACAACAATAACATTATCACACTATAAAGTTATCATGAAGGTGTTAGCAAGCAATTGGTATTCACACATTCAGCACACACAGCAATTTTATTAGCATTTATCTGGAGTCGCGTTGACATCTGACTGACGAATTTACCATTTCCTCTCTCCTTGTAGCTCTGTTTTGGGCTCCACTGATTCCAAGAACAAACATATTTGGCTCTTTAGCTGCTATCGTAGATGTTCCTCAGTGTTCCTCAGCAAGTCACAACCTTTGTCTGTCTGCTGTTTGATGTTTGGCACATAGGCTACAGTGGGTAATCAGACCTTTTTCTCTATGCTTTTTAATTTACTACCTGTTGCAGGTGGAAATAAGACTGATGAGAACAATGCGACTGAATCAAAACAGTGTGGCCCATAGAATCTAACTGCAGAGTGTGGGTTTCCTGGGTTCATTACAATGAGCGACTCCACTGACCATACACAGTCATTTGACTACCTGTTAATAAGATTACTGATTAGCATAGTTAAAACATTAACACAAAAACAACTATAAAATTGTCAGTTGTTAAATGTTATTAATACAGTGAGTTTTCATGACACCACATGATCGTGTTCATAGCAGAATGAAAATAGCTGTAATAATCAATCTTAAAGTTTCACAACATCTTGGGACAGAAATAAGTGAATGGTCAAACCAAAGCACCTGGGGCAGAGATATCCTGACTTCCCAGCATGGCTCAACATCCCATAATGAAACTGGAACTTATTTGACTCCCTATGTAGTACAGGTGTATCTCAATAAATTAGAATATCGTGGAAAAGTCCATTTATTTCAGTAATTCAACGCAAATAGTGACACTCGTGTATTATATATATATTCAGTACACACAGACTGAAGTAGTTTAAGCCGTTGGGTCTTTTAATTGTGATGATTTTGGCCCACATTTAACAAAAACCCACCAATTCACTATCTCAAATTAGAATACCTCATAGATCTATAAAAAAAAAACATTTTTAGTGAATTGTTGGCCTTCTGGAAAGTATGTTCATTTACTGTATATGTACTCAATACTTGGTAGGGGCTCCTTTTGCTTTAATTATTGCCTCAATTCGGCATGGCAGGGAGGTGATCAGTCTGTGGCACTGCTGAGGTGGTATGGTAGCCCAGGTTTCTTTGACAGTGGCCCTCAGCTCATCTGTATTTTTTTGGTCTCTCATTTTCCTCTTGACAATACCCCATATGGTGAGTTTGCTGGCCAGTCAAGCACACCAACACCATGGTCATTTAACCAACTTTTGGTGCTTTTGGCA